TGTATACCCTAACTAAAATACTAGTTCAAGCCAAGCAGCAAATTATTACAGCTTAATTAAATCAACTACAAATTCCACTGAATAACCGAATCAAAGCGAAATACCCATATTTGGTTAGGGTATTTCAACTATATTATATTTTTGTGTTCACTCTGTTGTCCATTTAAAGTGAATAAAACTACGGCGTAAACATTTTTTTCTCTTTTTGTATTTGACAATTAATTTTTTATTTCCTCTCCTTTCTTTTCAGATGAAATACAACGAAATTCAATTGGTTTTGATTTTGCAATAAAAAGCAAAAAAACAAATATAAATAAATATATATACATATACAGTTGATTCTGATACGGCGCGGCTTCAAGGCTAAATTGATTGAGTAGAGGATATCGACAGAGCGCGAGCACATCATAAATCCATACAGAAAATGCTGAAGCTGCACAAGTCCAGGTGCGAGCACCTGTTAATAACCATCAGCCTGCTAATCTATGCCGGGAACCAGCTGAATGTCGTCAGCGCAACGACACGTAAGTCTGTCAAATATTTGCCTCTGGTGTAAATTGTACTAATGTGCATATATTTATCTCACATATACATACATATGTAAATATGTCTCGGAATGTGCAAACATCATTATTTTTTCATTGCGCGGCTATCTGTTCATGATCTTATCAAATTGTATGAGTATTATGGTATACATTATTATTGTTTGCACTATGCCAAATAAGAGGCTATTGTTCAGCCTGAAGAGTCCGCAGGCCAACAGGTGGAAAATGCGTTCGTTCACCTGCAATTGTAATCCGTAGAGATGTAGCTGCAAAGAGTAGAATATGAATTTGATCTTATATATATATTATATATGTATGATACTTTATAAAGGTGAAGTAGATAGGAGTTGAGGTCGTATATAGATATGATTCACATGTCTATACATATATAAAGCCAGGGTGATTCGATTTTTTAACAATTCGTAATGGTATATATATAATAAATATATGTGATATATCCATATTTACTTTATAAACCCTATCAAAATTTTCTATGAATCAGTGGAACATACTCTTGTTCTATTATTAAGTATATACTCATAAGTAAAGTTTGCATTATATACATACACACAAGAACACTTATAGTACATATGTGTATATAAAAACACAGATTTGGCACACTTTTTTATATTTTCTTGCAAAATTAATAAAAAATTGTATTAAAGGAAAATGTGCGAATTTAAGCGTTTAATTTTATTATCTAACGAAATTCATTTCACTGAAATCGCACTGTTCGTTGATGAGATATATCTTATTAAACCTAAAAATAATCTCAAATTGTATAAAATAAAAATTATAAAAAATGTTATGAAAGTCAGATATCTGTATAACCTTTGCCAATGTGTATAATATTATTTATATAGAATATTTCTATAATAGCTCAAAAGCCAATATCTTCTAGACTACCTATATTATATCTATATTGAGTTCTACCCACCGTTTGGCTGAGAGCCTTGCTGCAGTCGATAGGCACATCCTTCACGCCCGCACTGAATATGTAACGCGTTCTCCGAAAGATCTGCTGCAGTCGATGCGTGTGCCCAATGACCAAACTGAGCTGGACGAAGACAGCCACAGTGAAGACCGTCGCCTCGACATTCCAGGGGGCAGGCCCATGAAATTTGCGCAGCCACCAGTTGCTGAAGGTCACAAAGTAGCTGAAAAAGGAATGCATAATGCTCTCGACGGCCACGAAAATCACAAATACGACCAGCTGAACGTTGTGGAGCGAGCAGAGCCGCAGGCTGAGCCTCAGCAGCTGGCGATGCAGGCGCAGCAGACGCCACAGCTCCAGCGCGAGCCAGCGCTGCTGCGAGTCCAACAAGTGCTGGCGATGGGGCAGGCAGCGAGTAAACAACGTCTCGTGGCTGTGCACGGCATCGGCGAGCAGTTGAGCCAGAAGGAGATTGCAATGATGCGACAGATGGCTAATTAGCAGCAGAGCCAGCAAATAGAGTGCCAAACTCAGCTGGAGACACAGTTGGCAGACGTAGACGAAGAGCACGGCGCAGAAGAACAGGGAGCTGCGGCGGGCCTCGACATCGAAGCGCAGCAGGAACACGGTGTAGCTGCAGGAGCAGGCTAACGAGATGGCCAGGACGTAAATTGTCAAATGGTCACGTGTGTGCAGCCGGTGGGCGGAGCTCTGCAGCCGGGACGTGTGCAGCAGTGTGAACAGCTGGCGGCAACACCAAAGCAGCTTATTTCCAAGGGCGATAAGGCGACACTGGCGGCTCGTGTGCCGGTAGAGCGTGAGCACGGCTGAGCCCAACAGCAGCGCGTATCGATGGCAGCCGACCATGAACAGCAAGTGATTCTGGCGCAGGAAATCCATGCGTGTGATCACCATCCACATGGCGACCGGCGAGAAGCCGAGCACAAACAACAACACCAGGCAGCCATGCAGGCGCCAGTACCACTCGCACTTGCCAGGTGCCACACCCACGCCCACACGCCCGCTGAGCATCTGCCAGGAGGCGGCAGTCAGGCCCAAGAGCCGGCTCAGCAGGTGCAAAGCACGCAGCGTGCCACTCGTTACCAATTGCAGCAACAACATAACTACGAACACTAAACGCCACAAACTGAATCGAGCCTTGGACTAGCTGCCGCTGCTGTTGCTACTCCTGCTACTTCTGCTGTTGCTTTAATGCTCCTGCTGCCAAGCAATGCGTTGTCATAATTGAATCACGATTATCTGGCCATGGCTATTAGCCTGATTGAATTCCACTTAGCCCAGGCGTTGCCTTCACTCAGCCAGAGCCAGAGCCAGACCCAGAGCCAGAACAGCGCAACGAGCGACCACAAGACGGCCCTGAAACAAAAGGATTCTATGAAATATCAAACAAGCAACTCG